GTTGTCAGCGTAGGCAATCTTCAAGCAGCTCAAAGAATTGCTACTGCAAGTTTAGTGTCTGCTGCTCAGAGTTCTCCTGCAACCACGCAGAAGGGTACCGTTGGTGTCACCATAGCGACCGCCTCCGGTAGTAAAACACTAACCGCTGCACAGTTGCAGTACTACAGGCAGCAACAAGTTCTCTTGCGACAACAACAACTAAAGGTGCTACAAGCACAAGCCGCGAGTGGTCAGAAAGTGTCGGTAGCGGTTTCTGCCGCTGCCGCTGCTCAACAGAGAGCTACATTAATGAAGCAAGGTATAACTGCTGGTACTGTGACCCAAGCGACTGTTGGAAAGCAAACTGTAGCGCGCACGGTATCGGAGACCGAAATGGCTGCTTTGATCAAGCGACAGGCGTTACAACAGCAAGCAAAAGCAGTGGCACAGGTACAAGTACCTGCACAAACTGGTCTCACACCGGCACAAATATTCGCGCACGCTGGCTTACAAGTTCAACAAGCTGCAACATCCGCCAGCGGAACACCGGTCGCTACTCTGGTGAAAACTGCGAATGTTGGTGTACGTACAGCGACTCCTCAACAAATCCGTCAGCTAGCCCTTCATCCTCAAATTATCACTCAAAGGAAATTGCCAGCGCAGAAAGTGGCCCAATTGGCACAAGTTACCAGTAAAACGGGAGTTCAGACACAACTTATTGTACAACAGAAATCATTACCTGCGACAATGACCGTACAACAGATACAAGTGATGAAACATGTTCAACCTTCGGCTATGCAACAGTTCACGCATGTATGTATGATATATTTATTTTCATTTATCCTGATATTCGAAGATATTTCACGTGAAATGGTAATTTCAGGTTTCCACGGGACAAGCTGTTTCTCAACCAGGTCAAGTAGTATTGGCAAAATCTCCGTTACAAACACGAGTAATTCCAGTCGCTTCGGCCGCTTTAAAGCAAACAATTCAAGTTGTTACTGCGAGTAGCGCCCAATTGCGGCAAGCTGCTCCAGCTCAAGGAAAACCTATTGTCACAACAGCAAGAGGTAGTCCTGGTCCTAGTCAAGTCAGATTGCAGACCATTGCACATTCTGTTCATCCGCAACAAGTACAGCAGCAGCAGCAGCAACAGCAACCTCAAACACAAGATGCTCAACCGAAGTGAACATGCTTGATAATTGTCACTCGAATTAGTCAGTGTTGTTTCTTTAAGTTCACTTCGATTGGACAAACTAACGTCATCATAGAAGTTCAGTTTAACGGCACTCAAAATAGTGATAACATTCCAAAAGATATTAAAGCATGTTGATTGCGGTCATCTGGATATTATTCATTGAATAGGTCTTTCGTTTAAATAATACATTGGCTACGATATTCGTGCAAAGAATAATTCTTTTAACCCTTGTGTTAATAGAAACACCTGTCTTATTCTGTAATATTCTGTTTCTGAAAACTTGTGACTCATTGGATTTGCCGAGAATAAATTTGTAATCTTATCAGTATTGAAGAAGCGATCCGGTTTTATTATTTTAGTATTTTAAAATTTGCTGGCCGAATTTTGTTTAATAATAATGAATTGCAACTATACTGTTATTGATCTTTATGTTTTGTGAATCGCAAGATAACATTTATGTAGTAAGGTCGTTATAAAGTTAGCTGTTTACGTAAAGTTGATCTGCCGATCTCTTTTTGTACTGCAGTTTTTCGTATAATTAACGAATACACATTAAGTAGCCATTGTTGCAATTAATTGGAGTGTTTTTACTGTTTGAGATAATTCAATGAATGTGTTAGAAGTTCGATGAATTTTTTTGCATCGTTGCAAGCGAGTGACACGCACATTGTGTGTCTCTTGGTACACGTTTTATAATATAAGTAACACGATGTGTAATTCTTAATAATGTTAGGTATAATAATGACGAGCTGTTGTAATATTTTTTAGAGAAGGAAGTTTACTATCTGAAATCCTCAAGCAGTAAGAACTGTACAATTTTATGAAAATTAAAGCTTGATTAAACACGAATCAATCGCAGACTAATTTATAAGATTTTTACGATGCTAGTTTTCGAATACTAAAGGATGGGATTTCGTATAAAGAATACGTGTTTTAGTTTTGTTATGTTATCTTACATGAAGCGTTTAAGTATTTTACAGAAAAAGCGTCTCTGAAATGACAATTTTACTTCCCATTCGGATTATATAAATATTAGTATGGAACGATTTAGCCTCGAGAAATACGCTTAACATGTCAATACACTTGGAACAGTGAAAAAACGATGAATAATGCTATGACTGTATCTATAGTTACCTGTAGAGATAAAAAAATTTCGTTCGATAATGCGATGTTTATACTAGGATCTTTATCGAACAGTGTAAGATTGTACTAATGATAAATATTAATAATAATAACAATAATAATAATGATAATAATAATAATAATATATAAATATGTATAATTCGTGTAACATAGACGCTAAAATAAAATTTCTCGTAAATAATCGTGGATAATTCGTATATCTGTACCGCAAATCGAAACGTACATAAACAGGGAAAGTTCATATAAATTATCGATAAATTATCAATGCGTCAGATTGTTTCTCGTGTTAAAAAGGTTAATAATTTTTAGAAGCTCTTGTTCAGGAAGATAAAGTTAAAATAATTATTCAGTATCAAAAGTATTGCTTCACTGAGCTTCGTTACAATCAAGTTTTTCTGATAAACTAACGATAATTCAGGCATATAAGGAGGCCCAAATGGAGCAACTCCGTAGAAGAAGAAGGGATATGGTTTAAGTACGTAACACATTGAGTCTACAATTACATAATTGTTTACATGTGCACTTAGAGTCACGGTCTTCGCGAAGATTACATCTTAACGAGCCACGATGGCGTACGTATCGTTAATCCTAAACTCCGTTTTTATTGCTACCATTATTTGGTTAGCGGTTTATTATTATATGAAGAAATCGCACACCTACTGGCAAAAAAGGGGTATCCCCGCGGATTCGGGACATTGGTTTTTCGGTAATGTGAAAGATGCTGTGCTGTTTCGAAGAAATCCCACGATTGTAATAAGTGAGTTGTTTGCAAAATCGCCGCCGGATCTGGATGTTTACGGGATCTATATCCTGAACAAACGTTTTCTACTATTAAAAAATCCAGAAGTAATCAAGCATGTTCTTGTTAAGGACTTTCATAGTTTCGAAAACCGATATTTCACCGGTAAATCCCGCGTGGACACGATCAGTAGTTCGAATCTCTTCACGATTGGAAACCCGGAATGGAAACAACTCAGGTAAGTGATACGAAAATCAAAATAAAAAAGAAAACGAGCTATAGCGAAGAAAGGGAAAATAATTGATTATCGCGACGAATGATTCTTGTTAGAACAAAGGTATCGCCTGTATTCACAAGTGGAAAGATGAAGAAATGGTTTCATTTGATAGCGGAAACCACAGTATCCATGAGTAATTATTTGCGCAATGAGTTTGCGAATGGGGTGAAAACGAAAGTGATCATGATGCAAGATACTACCCTTAAGTTCACTACAGATATTATATCCACGCTGGCTTTCGGCATTCATGTGAACTCTTTCGATCCCAACAACAATGAATTCTTTCGGAAAGGTATCGTACGGAGCCGACGCTTTGTGATATGAAACATTTGAATTTTTAACATGACTTTTCGTTTCCCATGGCAGCGCAAGAGGGGCTATCACAAACGTTCACGCGTTCCGTTCAATTTTTCTGCATGTTTTTCTTTCCGAAGTATTCGGAGTTTATACCTGTGAAATTATTAGGAAATTCTACGGACTACTTGCGTAGCGTATTTTGGGACGCTTTTGAGAATAGAGAAACAACAAAAGAGAAACGGGGAGATCTGATAGATTTTATGATCGAGTTGAGAAACAATAAGCAACAGGATAACGAATTCAGTTAAGGAATACTTATTACTCTATTATAATTTAACTACTGGGTAGAATGAAGTTCAATGGAAAATAATTCGGTTGTAGAGATGGAAGGAGATGTTTTGGTGAGCCAGGCAGCTATATTTTTTGTTGCCGGTCGCGATTCTAGCGTGACCACGATGTGTTTCACGCTCTACGAACTTGCTAGGAATCCAGACATTCAAAAACGTGTGCGTGATGAAATTTTCGAGACAATGAAAAACCAAGGATTAACATACGAAAGCGTACAGGATATGAAGTATATGAATCAGGCGATGTCAGAGGCATTAAGATTGTATCCGCCTGCTCCACTCCTCGACAGAGTGGCTACTACTGATTACAAGGTAGAAAAAAGTGTAATAAACAAAGGCATGAATTGCAAAGCGTGATTATCATATTCAAATCACTTTGGAATACTTAAGCATGTTAACGATTATTGTGTCTACAGTATAATCTACATACATATTTCTGGAAGCGATTAGCTATCAGATTGTTTTTATTTTTATAAATGTGCGAGTCATACATGAAATAAATTATCACTGACGCAATGGAATGTCTACTTCATTCAAAGTGAAATGTATTTTCTTATCATTCGTAGATACCAGGAACTGATATAGTACTAGAAAAAGGAACACCAGTGTACGTGTGTCTGTATGCTCTCCACCGTGATCCAAGATTCTTCGCTAACCCCGATACTTATGACCCCGATAGATTCAGCGACGAAAATAAAAGTAATATTAAACCATTCACATATATGCCTTTTGGAGAAGGTCCACGAGCATGTGTTGGTAAGAATATATATATTTTTTAATGTATCTACCATAATTTTGATTTTTAGAACAATCTTTTACCACATGTTTCTAATTACAATGTAGGTATGAGGCTTGGCATGTTGCAGTCTATGATGGCAGTGATCACGATACTAAAAGATTATGAAGTTGCATTAGATCCTGATTATAAGTATCAGGTCGATCCCTATAATATTTTCTTCATAACGCCTGCAGATTTTAAATTCATTTTAACGAAACTGTGAAGGCTTCTTGGGTCTTTAAAATATGTATTCTCTTTTGAGATCGTATTTAGGATAATATGTAAAATTAAATTAATAAAGATATATTTATAAAATGTGACGAATGTAATTGCACTTATGTACACGTATTAGTTTTCCAGTGCTATCATACAGAGTCTTATAAAAACCATTTGTCACTACTACGTCATTTCGGTAGCAACGTTAAATACTTCTTAAATTCTGGAATTACGCATTCGCGTGGATTTAATGATGTTTGCGAAGTTAAACAGTCGCTCAGGTATTGTGGCATGAAGCATAGAATACCTTTGCTTGCCAACATTGCCCAATCAATTGGTTGAGTGACTTGTCTTATGTTAACGAAGCAATGAGTTATTTTTTCCCCCGTTGGGCTTGTGTCGTACGGCGGTCTGAAATAAATGCGCACTGACAACTGGTTTTTTAGCATAGTGTATCGAATAGAAAAACAAACTTACCTTGCCTGAACAACTTTTCCACTACCAGCCTCAATTAGCCTTTTGAATTGATCGTATCTTTCTCCAGAAGCTAATATCATAGCTACCATATTGTGGAATGGCCCAGCTGGTTTCTTTAATAATTGCAGCCTCCATTTGTAAGCTGCGGCTGCAATTGTTTCTTCAACTTCTCCTGCAGGATCGGGTATAACACCTTTGCTTTCTGGATTGCCCCACTCATACTTTTCTTCCTGTTAACAATGGAATTAGGCACATAAATAAATATACTAAGTAGTAACGATATCATCGTACTGGACAATAACTAGTAACAGATACTGACATCAAGAAATTTTCCTTCTTGTTCAGAATCTCGTAGGTACATACAATGCAGTACCCACTTTCCTGACGCTATACTACCAAGCATTTTTTCATTCCTTGATGGTCGTATACAAAGCAAATGTGTTGCACTTATATCAAAATTAGCGTCTGATGATACCTCGCCACCGAGATCTTGTATTACTTGTTCATACGCTGTTCTGTCCTGTTAAAAAGACATTGCTGAAATCAGATACTATGCGTCTTTACGTATTATAACATACCTTTATACCAGAAAGCATAAATTTGAATTTCTTCCGGGGCTCTGGTTCTTTTGGTTGCTCTTCCATTTCCTCTTCTACTTCTTCTTCTAATTCTTCTTCTACTTCCTCATTTTCTTCTTCATGTTCTACCGTCTGGTTATCGCGAGTAACGTTTTCAGTCTGTTCCTCGTGCATTGTTGACTATGAAAATATATATGATTATGATTGAAAATAAAAGATTTTATTTTGTTAAAACAGAAAAAACTTACGCGTTTCGAATGACTTGGGTCTTCCCAGACAATAGCATCAATGGGTTGAGAATCTTTTACAATGACTATAAAAAATACATAATTAGAAGAAACTATCAGACAGTAAAGAAAATAAAGTATACTTGCATTTTTGTATAGGATCAGAAGGCTCTGCATTATACGTATTTGCATTTTCTCCGGAAAGGGAATACCTATTTTCAGGAGTGCTTGATGTTCTTTGAAGTACTTGATGCAGTTGTGCAATTTGCCTGCAATATGGCTACAGTGGTAAACTTGTATCTATTAGTTAACAAAATTATATATCAACTTACATGTTAATTTCATTATTTTGTAATGGAGTGTTTTCGTCAGAGAACTCTAATTTTCGATTAATAGGTGTAGTAGGAGATATTTTGTTACTAGTTTTCGTAGTTTCGGGAGTTTCCTCAGCGGGTGGTTGATTAATGGTTTCATCTGCATCGTCCTTTTACATTTAAACATTTTAAGGTTTTTTTAAGCAGTTTAACGTATTGCATAATTATACGTAAACAATTATAAATACTTACATTTGGATCTTGTCCTTGATTTTTTAATTTTTGCCATAATTGTTTTTTCAATTCGGAAAGAGGCTACAAATTTGGCGATATTAAAATAAATTACATTATTTATGCATAATGACAGATATAAATACATACTGTACTAAGCGCTCTTCGTTTCAACGGAGGTTCTTCTACCCTTAAATCTGGAAAATTGTCAACCCACTTCACCCAACCTTTCCTTGTATCTGGTGAAGGATCTGGCTTAAATACTTGACCGTAAGGTGTTTCTGGAGTTGATACATGAAAGGGTGACTGAGGAGTTTTATTCATAAGCAAACTGAGTCTCTTATTTATTAATGGAGTATCAGCGGAACTTCCGTCCTGACTCTACAATAACATAATTAATAGATAATAATACGGTTTTATAACATAGATGAAGAGTACTTACTTGTAAATTAGGTAAATGTCGTTTTGGAGTAACAATATTTTTAGTTGCCACTTCAGTTGGAGGACCCATTTGACTTGAAGTACTGCTGGATATATTTGTATTTGCAGTATTAGGTTCATTTGATTTTTCAGGTGCTATAGTCAAAAAACATCATAGTAATATTTTTGTCATGCAAAAATTGTTGAATGTAAGGTTTTAATAGTATAGCAAATACCCATAGTTTCTCCTACAAGATATGGCGTTTCGTCAACACGTTTCGTTTGAGCTGCACAAGCTTTTAGCCAATCAGCAGTTACAGCTGGCAATTTCCATTTAACCGCTGCATTGTATTTATTTCCTTCCGGCGTTGGACAAATTAAGTGCGTACTTCCATACGTGTTTTTTTCAAGATTAGTCTTCCGTACAAATATATCTTGACACCTAAAATTAATGATGTTTTAATACATTGTTTCTAATAGTTATATTTCAATAATTAAAATATAATACATAGCGCCTAGTTCAGTAGCCAGTGTTGACAGATATGTTCGTTCTACGCCAGTGTACATGCTCATTGTGATAACACAGCCTGTTAATGGATTCAAATGTTTCTTTATGGACAAAGGCCTATGATAATACACGATTTCAACTATCGCTTCCTGGTTTACACAATCTTCCTATAACAAGGTTTAACCATGAAATACCTCTTAGTTATACGGATTTTCGAATAAAAAGGTTACAATATTTACAATATACAAATCAGTGACAATTTCGTTCACAGTATGTTTCAACAATGCGCCACATTTTGGTACAATCCCATAGTCCGGTATACCAGCAAACAAGCTTGAAACCACTTTACCACCCATTGCTACAATAGTTTCTGCTACATAACTGTCTTCTTCGGTGAAGCCAACCACGGCGAATGTGAGCCCTGTATTTAATTTATTTAATTTACTACAATTCATGCATTAATGTTCATCATAATTCTGCCAAATGTGTATATATTATTACCTTCAAATAGTCTATCATTTAAGGTCGATGTCTGACTGATCGGTACTGCGCTGTCATCTCCAGAATACTTGCTTTCTATCGTTCCAAATGAAAGTGTGTTTTTCACTTGCCTTGATTGGTTCTTACGATCATTGATTATAGTTTTTTCATTTCTATCTTCTGCTGTGGGTGTATGTGGTTTGAGAAATTCTTGTATGGTCGTATCATTCGCTGCAACTAGATCAAAAAGTATAAATATTTTATTGAAGTAGTTTTTTCTTCTAAAGTTACGTGAACAATTTTTCTGTAAATACGTTACCAACTGTATCCTGAAGATATTGTTTTATAAGATCAGACTCTTTCTCCTTCTCTAGCACTGCCAATTTTTTATCTATATCGAAAGATGGTATAGGAACTTTTTTTGGTTTCTGTAGCATTTGTAAATTCTGAAACACGTATTATAATTTTCAGATATCTGTAGCACAGCTATTAAATTTTTTTAACACTTACTCTTTTACTTAATGGGGACGGAGGTTCTGGAACTTTTTGTGGTGCATTATGTTTTTGTTCAAACAAATAATTTTCTTCTGGTGCAGGTCGTTTTAGTTTCATACTTTCCTCCAACCAATCGACAGTTAAGATATAAGGACTGTGTAAAATATTCGTAATATTAAAATATAAAATGGATGGTTAATGGATTATCATGAACATACCATAATCCTTTTAATTTCATCATTTTAAGATCATTAGATGCTTTATTTTCATCTCCAACAATAACATGCGTCAGAGCATCCGATATATCATCTAAACGTGTTGCACTGCCTACATTTAGTATCTTGTTAAGCTTGTCTCTTTGATTCGGAGCAAATCCAGCAAGATAAATCTAAAAAAATTAAAGCACCAATTATTGAAATAATGGTGTAATGCACATTGAATTTACTTACATTACACCCATCTAAAAATGGACCGGACAACTTTGCTTCACTGAAAGTTAGCCTCTCCAAAATTGCCACTGTGTTAACTAAAAATTTAGATAAAGTTGAAATTAAATCTGTTACCTTAACAGATAACATTCCTTAAGATTTATCACTTACTACTTGTATCTCTAAACAGAGAATCTGCTGGAGAAAAACTACTTATAGTCGTCGTCATACTTTCGTCCACACAATTTCCTTGCTGTATATCGCAAGGTATAGAACTTATAGCAGAACAGTTAAGTGTTTCAAATGCTATAATTTAAAAGCATTTATAATTAATTTTCACTTTGCTGCATTATACAAACGAAAGAACGAGTGTTTACATTTACATTATTATTATAAATAGAATAAAATATTTATACCATTTGATTTTTCTGGTGTGGAACATGCTTTTAATGATTTAATTAAAAAATCTTTGAAGGGCAGAGCATAGCCCACTTTTATACTTTCATACACCCAATCTGGTGCTAGACATGCAATGTTTGCTTGTTTCGCATACTTCAATTTTTCACTTATTGGACTATTTTCAGGTGCAAGTACAACTTTAACTTTTGCACCATCAAGAGGACCCATAAATGTCTGGAAAAACAGTAATATGTATAGACATTGTCAAACTGAAAATACAATAAAGAGAATATAGGTTTTTACCCCTCCATGATCATTAATTAAATGTTTTATTTCTTCTTTTTGACGCTTTGGAAGATTTGTTGATGTCACTACCAGATTAAGAAATACAGAAGCCTTATATTTATTAAACATGCTGTCATCAGGCCTAACAAATTCCTTTAAATTTGTCTCCCAAATTGCTTCAACCCATTCCTTTGTAACTATTGGTATTTTCATATCTATAGCAGTCTATAAAAAACATGGATGTTAATAAGGATTAATTTTATTTATAATAACGATAAACTTACCTCATATTTTGCAGACATCACAGATGCTGTCACAAGATGTGTTACACGACTACGCAATTGTTTTGTAAAAATACCACCCATGTATTCTACCAATTTTTCTATGCGTTCCTATAAATATTTTTTCATTTTTAAATAAGAATTGATGGTTTAAAAATATTAAATTATAAGAGACATACTTTTTCTTGTAATGACAATCCTGAAGCACATATACAAAGTCCTCTCATAGTTGTTGTATATACTGGACTTGTACCTTCTGGAATTGGTTCCCCATTAACAAAACAAAGCAGCAAGCATTTTGGTCCAACTATCCTGCATGAACAATAAAACTTTTAATATACTGTAATACTAGCCTTATAAATGAGACAGTATTATATTATTACATAAAATTTCTATACCAAACAGTCTTACTTACGGGCACTTAAATGTTTTTAATTTCTCAAATACATCACCTTCAAATTCTTCCATTACAAAAACATCATTTTTAACAGGTTTCATTTTGTTACACTTTTTTTCCGTAATCCACGTTGGTTGTAAGTCATGCTCACAACATTTCTGAAAACAAAAATGATTAAATTATGTTTTACTGTTGCTTAAATATCTTTGTTTATCGATAAATTAGTTGACTAACATTGAATGCATGCCACATATCTTCGATACAATCATCCTCTGATTTATACTTGTTAGGTACAACAAAATAAAGATTCACATCTGCATCAACTTGACTCTGCTCATTTACCATATTTATTAAAAAGCTGATGAATAACAGTTATGTGAAGATATTGGATAATTTAAGAATAATAATAATATCTGGCTACTTGCTGGATAATTGTCCTGTTAAACATACAAAATATATTTAAATTTTACATATGCTATAAAAACGTATTACCATTAGAACTAATGAAAATGTCAAAAATCAATTTTTTATAATTAATAAACTTGTAGAAATATTTTTATTAAAAATGAGAAAATGAATTTAATCATACACATTTGATAAAAAAATTTGCGCGAAAATTTGGAAAATGTGTATTTATTGTTTTTATACAAAATGACAGGTAAATAATGTTGTCTTCATAGTTTCAATGTTAAACATAAATAAACTGAATGACATAATCTAATCATACTGTTACTTAATTGCATTGCAATGTATAAAAGTTTATTACGTGTACAAGGAATTTTTATCCATGCATTTAATAGTTTATCATTTAAAATGACATTGTGCTCGTCCTAATAATAAGAAGATAGGTTAAGCGCTGTCCATAACTGTTAGGAAACACATTAGTTCAGAGAAGAATATCTGTATATATTTTATAAAAAGGTACTTGATGTCTTTTAACAGTATTTCACAAATATTATAAAGATCACTGAATTTACAAATTCTACCATCAAGTTAACAATTCTGTTCCGACAGAACGTCTCGCGCCTAATTTACTACTCTAGTCAGTTTCACTTTAAATTTAAGAAAGTGCTATACGACACGGTACACCGTTTGTGATTAAATAATTTAAAGAATTTCGAAATTATAATTATTAATCGAATTTAAGCTTGATAAAGTAACATATTCCGACATGTAAAAAGAGTAATAAATTTCGAGAATTCTAAAATTTATATTCTTTAATAAATCTATAACAAATATCATTCCGAGGTAAAAAACAGAATTCTAAATCGGGAAACTAAATCCTTCAGTAATATTCACAATGTGTATAAAAAGAAGATATGATCTGAAAATTTGAATACTTTCAATCTATATCTTTCTTTATGTACATTGCTGTAAGATTTAAAACATTAAGATTCTCTCATCAGATATATTAATTCAACAGCTATTTAAGTATTTTTATTATAATTTTTTCTTTACTCTATTCTAATATTCAACAATAATATTGTCGCGTTCAATTTAACGCATTCTTCTAAATTACAAACGATGGCTCAATATTGTTGCGCCATCTAACAGTATCATGTCGGTATCAGTACCACAGAACAGAATTTAAGATTCACGTTCATCTCTACATTTGGACCAATCACAATGCACAGGAGATGAAAAGTAACGAATGAGCCAATCACGTTTCGCAGTTGCATGATGTGGATTTTGAGCATAAGTATCTACCCTCCATTTAGCTGTAGCTGCTTCAGTTATAACAGACCTTCAAGTTAAGATTTATTTCAGTGTTAAGTTTACGCGTCAACTAATTAATGACTTCATCATTCGAGCATTTGGAACTCCTGACAATTGGTCATGATTGAGTACGTAAAATCAACTCATTTCAGCTTCTGATTATCGATTTTTAAAATACATTCTTCCCGCTTGTACTTAAGTTTTGAAATATTGAGAAGTATTCGCGGGAAGTCATGGGGAATCATACCGATTCCGTTGCGATCGACTATGCTTTTAAATATATCAGCATAATTTCTTTGGATTTTAATCGTTTCTTTATTTTTCAAAAAACAATAAAGTTTTCCGATGTATATACTGATATACTGCCTGTCCAAATGGAGTGAACTGGTTATTCGATCATAAAAGAAACTTTTGTTTCTCAAACTTTAATCCAATAAATTAATTATTGCCAATTATTAAGATTAATTATTACATGCTATGTAAATGGACTAATGGAAAAGTTATGTACACACATTTTTATCACTAGACTGTGGATTTTTATGCTTTTATGGGAAATTTGGAAGTGTAAAATTGCACTGAATGCATACAATACAAAAAGATATATAAAATATCTAATGTTTAGTGGTTTTCATGACGTTTGCCAGGAAAAACCATTTTCCATTGTAATTCTGCTTTTCTAATTGCGTCGTTGAAAATTTGAATTTGCGTAAAGATCCGCAGTCTATCACCGTGTGTTTTCAGCATCGTGACCATGAAAATGTGTTTTATTCCCATTTTCGTGTTCACGTTATTAATCGCCCCGAATTCAGTAAGTGCAGCCAAGCCACTGGAACCTACGCGGTGAGCTTCGGAAGCTTCGAGGTCCGTGGTGATCTCGCGGTTAGCCGTGATGGTTAACCTTCCCCTGCGCACCGGCCTCTTACGTGGTCACGTTAAAATCATTCCCAGCGAGAATGCGAGATAATTAGTTCCGGGGAATCAACATCGTATTTCTGAAATCTTTATTTAATGTTTAACAGTATATACCATATATTACCCCCATACGACATGGGTCATCTAGGAATGGTACCTGAAACGACTTCGTTATTTTTATTGGCAAGGAAACGTTTCTACAGGAACATAAATATTTAGCTTAGAATAGGCGGATACTCTAATAAAAAAGACTTTTACGAGAAATGATTATTGTTACTATTTAAAATTCTATGGTATATATAATTACAAGTGAAATTATATTTTTGAAGGGAACGACCACTGACGCCTTCCGGTTCGATCATGTTACTCAAGATTATCCATTCGAACTAAACGGAAGAGGATGAAATTTAGCAACGGAGATTTTATTTACATTTTTAAGTACGTTCGTAACTAGTGTGAAAACTAATAAATTTCCAAGCTTGTTGATTTTATGGTTGGTAATATTGCTTAATCAAAATTTCCTTTGACAGGAAACTGCCCGTAAGACCGCCTGGATGGTTAGACTAATGACTCCATTATTAACAGTTTGTGTTACTACTCTGTCGCGTCTACTGAATCATGTCCTTCCGTCGATAGCTTCAGGTATGTGTAACTGAAAGTATCTTTCAACGCTGGAATTGTAAATGACACGTAGCTTACTGAAATTAGATTTTAGAACATAAATCTGCATGCATGTATGTAATATAGTAGAACATATAAAGCAGTGTTTTTTAATTGAATTTTCGACTGTTCCAAAAACGATTATAACAATAACTGTAGGAAATGTCCAAAATTCAATTGAGGACGAATGACTAAACTGAGAAAATAGTTTTAAGTTGAAATTTCATAAGGTGTTCTTTGACATCTTCGGTAGAAATAGTGTTAATAGATATACTGAAATATTAGATAGCTCTATATGACTCACACCAAACGTAACTCGAAAATCAGAATTTACTTCTTGAAATAGAACATAAAATGTAGCAATTACTATAGCAGCGGCAACTGCAAATGTTCCTCGCGTACGGTATTATAGAGAGTTCTCTTCAAATATCTCTCCCTGTTTCAATGCTAATATCGCTCGACAAATATTGATTGTAATGCAAAACATCCGTTCGTGCCGCTCATCTTCCAGGTATCTCGTTCTCTTATCTTCCTTATATCCTTACCCGATGTTGTTCAAGATTACGGCTGTGCCGTTCGATCGAAAAATCCGTATATTGGATTCTCGGATAAGTACAACGCAAACTAATCGAATGAAAATATTTCAGTACCGGGACGATATAAAGCTGCACGAAAGCTCCTTGTAAATGGACAGTTCCATAAAATAAAGTGGTGAATACTATTTGCCGTGCATCGTGGGTATTATGCGCGCTGTAGCAGCTCGCAGCTGAAGAGCGTATCGGTGAACAGGGTTCGATCACTAATTTCCAAACTAAAGCTCCGACTATATCGTAACTTACAAACAGTCACCGGGGAATGCTCCAATTTGACCCCATTGACTACACACGGTTCCTTGACTTTAATCGCTAATAAGATAAGAGAGACAACGTGTCTTGTTCAGATATATTATACACGGTATTACCGCAGCGAAGAAGATTCACACTCAAGGGTCTAAAGGCTCAAACATTCTCACTATTATCTACTATACCACTAGAACTACCGAGCAGTTGAATCGATTTTTAAACATTTCTTTATAGAAACCATCGACGTGCGTTGATTGAGATAACAGTTAAGTTATATTTTAATTTCTATATTAACGAATCAACTGTTTTAATCATTTCTCGAAGAAGCATCTATATGCTTCCAATTGTTTTGAAAGAATGGCTGAGGAGTTCTAGTATTAAAGCAATTCACAAGATACTGTTTCTCCCCTAGCTCCTAGCTCGAAGTTTCCAGATGAGGATATTCGAAAACAAAGTTGTAAGGGTTGTTCTAATGCGATTCGATTGAAACTTTCCAAAGGGAGTCGAAAATCGGTGGAAACATCGATCGCCGATCCATCATCTGTACGACTGATCAAGTAGATCATGGTTCCTCCTCTCTTCGCCACCTATTCCGGGAGAGGTAAGAAGAAACTACTTCATCCCGGCGTACTCGCAGCTCGGCTAGGTGTCGGTCGGAACGAGGGGGTTGGCCGGCGTGCGTGGTGGTGTACGGTGACGGAGCCGGGTGACG